CCCCCCCCCCCCCAAGTGATTCAAATGCACATTCAAGCCTGGGGAGGGAGTCTGTGGTTCTCAGCATTGGCTACACAAGAAAATAAACTGGGGAGCTTATACCAGTCAAGGAGTCCTACTCTCACAGCTCCTAATCTAATTAGCACGGGGTAGGTAAGACAGCACTAGCTTTTTAAAGCTACCCAGGTTATTGTGTTTGCAGCGAGTGTGGAGAACCCTCTGACTCCCAATTTTACGGCTGAATCTACCCTCGTCGGCAATGTTAAGGGTGCGGTGCAGCCACAACTCAGGGGAAGGCTGGCCCTAACAGAGGAGTTAGACCATCTCCAACCAGACTCTTCCCTAAGCAATCGGGGAATCAAGCCGTGTCTCCCCGAAGATGAAACCGTAAGTATATTAGCTGGAGGTCAGTGTGGATGATTCCAGCTGTACATAGGTGTTTGGGTTTCTTTATAGCTTTCTCAACATTTCACACTGTGCTTACAAACAATGTTCTTCATATTTATTCGGCTTAGCAAAGAATTCTGTTTTAAATAGGAAGTATATCGATATTTAAAGTTATGCAGTAGCCATTTTTACTTGGTTAGCGACACTTTTGAGAATCCCAGCCATTCTAGAAGTAACATCATTAGGGCGACACATTCACAAGCCAAAATGCACAAAATCACATTAAAGTCATTTAGTCTTTTGTCTCTAATAACCGGGTATTTTTTTTTTATTTGAATACCTCCCTGTGACCTCAAGTTCCTCAAACACATCTCAATCTCTTTCCTAATAATTCCTTCCTTTCCTGAATACTCACCAATAACAAATCCACTATTAGATAATCTGGGGTAAAATCTTGATACTTTACTTCCCTTTACGCATTCCATTCAGTCATCTGTCCATCTATCCATCCATCCACATGTCCATCCGTTAGTCCATCTGTCCACCCACCTACTCACCAGCCAGACAGCCAGACATTCACACACTAACCAGCCATCCATCCAATTTATGCCTAAGTTTATGTGGGTAGCCTCCTGGCTTACACGGATGCCCGATGTGTGAAATTAATCTTTCTTAACGGTGCTTTCACCGTATTACTCTTTTGTTCAAAATATAAAACATTGTTAATATTAAAAAAGAAAAAAACACACACACACAAAAACACTTTAAACAGTGAAAAACTGTTCCATGGTACAAATCCAAAATCCTCAGCCAAGTTTTCAGACACTGGTCCCAGTTCATTTTAATCTTTACTTAACCACTCTTCTAATCATAGGCAGGCTCCACTCGCCATGCTGTCCTCAGATAAATCATCTCCATCAGGATATTCATGCTTCCATTAATATTGTTTATTATACAATTATTTGTTCATACCCTAGGCCGTGTACTAGAAACCCTAGGCTCAAAGGCGCACCCCCGGTGCTCAGCCTAGAGACACACAGAGAGCACCCATGTTGCCATTCAGAGCACCAAGGGCTCGGGGGCCTCTCACAGGCAGTCCAGCCCGAGAGGTGGGTCGGAAAGGTGCCCCCGAGCCCTCAAGGATAAACAGGATTTGCCACAGCGGCGAGGAGAGGGCAGTGCCCCCGCGGCCTGTCCGCTGCCTCACCCGGTGCCGTCCACCTTCCATTTCAGCTGCGTCCCTGCCACCGTTTCCTTACGGCCCCGCCACTGCGGGCCTGGGACACTCCGTAGCGCTTGTGGTCTGACCCACTCAATTCAGAGCTCACATCTAATTCACGGTCCTTGGGTTATTCTTCCCATTTGCCCCTTTTATGTCATGAACAAACAAGATGTCCTTAGAAAATGCACTTAAGCTTCCTTGAGCTCTTCTGTACTTGGTGAAACAGGACGCGGCATCACATCATCTCTGAAGTCCCTGTCATTAATAATTTACACAGAGCAGGCTCTATCCTTACTGACTGTCCGCTCCTCAAAGGCAGGGGCCCCCTACACGCTTCTGTGCGCCCCAGAAAAAGAGCTTATCATGATTTCACGAGTGCGTTTTATACAATGACGGTCATATTAAAATATATTTGGCATGTGGTGCTCAGGTGGCCAAAATCATGGAGTCAATTACATTAGCTCTGTTTTGTTTCCCAGCCACGGGCCAATCCTTGTCAGGCCTAGAGGGAAGGTATGGTTCAGGGCAAACTGGCCCTCACTGCTGAGACACGCCTCTGCAGGTCCCCTTCCAGTGACAGTTTTAGCGTCACATCCTTACAATACGAAGATCACTCAGCAACCCGAATGAGCAGAATGTTGAAAAGAGATTACTCCTCTGCTTGTAGCACATTTCTTTCCCCTGCCCTCTACATGTTAATAGAGATTTTTAATTATTTTTTTCAATGTAACAGTGTACATTCAATATTCTGCAATAATTTCAGGTGTACAGCATAGTGGTTAGACAAGCATGTACTTTACAGAGTGGTTCCCCTGCTATTTCAAGGACTCAGCTGGCCCCATACACAGTTATTACAGAATAGTCATAGAGATGTAAATTATAGAATAGGGAACAGAGTCACTCATAGAGACTTAACACAGCAAGTTATCAAGAGTTTTAAAGAAAGGGAGGGGGAAGGAATACTACTTTCTTTAAACTACAAGCTCTCATACAAGAAGTTTCACTGTAATTAGCACATTCTGGAAAATGCCCCTTATCTTTGGTAATAAGAACATCACCTTGGACCATGTGGGTCAATCTTAATTAGAGAACTCCTCCCCTGCCATGCGGTGACTACGCAGTTCCAAATCTTTCGATTGTTTACCGTGAAACACCAGGGAATCTCGTCTCAAAATGTAAAATGTGCACTTGATGGACACAGAAGATATTTTATCACCAAATCTCACACGAAAATAGCAGAGAAAATCAAAACCCACAGAAGAGTATTGATAAGAAGCCTCAGAAAGCAGAGGAGACAGAGACCAGCATTCGAGAACAAATTCTGTCCTCAAAGAGCTGCGTCCCTCCAGGTATGTCATTAAACTTAACTTTCCTAAGGCTGTTTCTTTACTCTCAAATGAAGTTAATGTTATTTTCTAGGATTCAGGCAAGGAGCGAATGGAACCGGCAGAAGGTGATGTTTTTGGTAGTGCTGGTGGTATCTGTTGTCATGATTATCACAAACAATGAATCCTTTCCTCAGCAAAGAGGGACAGAAGTAGCCAGGTCTAAATTACAATATTAAGGAGTAAAACTAAGGTCATAAAAGACTTCCGAAATATAGGAGTTGAGAAACTCTGAAACTCATTACCGAGAGATTGCAGAATGGCCTTTCTTGCAAATCTGTAAGGACAGATGTCGGCAGCTAGGTTTCTGCGAGCCTCTGGCATAGTCATATGTGGAAGCAAAGGATACAGCCTAGGACCTCTAGGCTTCGCCTAGCCCTGAGGTGTGGAAGGCTGACCCCTACTGGAGCAACACTGACCTTGGCCCTGGGAAGCTGGTCGTCTTCCAACACTTTGGGCCCTAGACGGTGCTCTTTTAACTGGTGCTGGGAATTGTGTTTTCAAGAAAGCATTGCAGCTTCCAAGTTCAACTCATGAAAAACGACTCACCTGGTTGCCTCCGCTCTTGGGGTTCACAAACACAAGCAAGGGTTTCATGAGCGGAGAAGAGATAGGTTTTATCACGAAAGGACGGCCTTTGTTTTCCTGCTGAAGAAAGCAGCACAACTGTGATGTACGTCCATGATTTGACAGGCAGCCCCAAAGCAAGCACCACCCAACCCTTGCAAAAAAGGAAAAGATATATCTCGTTTCACCACAGAGCTTCCTAACAGGACACTCCGTGTCAAGCCTGGAAGGAAGTGTCTCAGGCTGCAACTGGCCCCTGAGAATTTAGCCAGGCTTCTGGTTTCACTCCCTGTACTCTAAGCATTCTAGAAGTGTTAGCTCTTCTTTGTCTTTGAGATAATACTTCCAAGGCCAAGTGCAGGCACTCGGTGAAGCGGCAGAGGTTATATTTTTTAACTTACTAACAATGCCAGCATGGTTAGAGTGGCGTGAGAGAGAAAAGAGTGATAGGAGATACAGCAAAACAGTAAGCCGGGGCCGGGTCACATCAGCCCCGGGAGGCTACGGAGGGGACAGATTTCATGGGAACGTGACCCTGAGACCCTGAGACACTTACTTCCGTTCCTCTTTTACTGGCTTTCCTTTTAAAGCTTGTTCTCTTCTTCTTTCGATTGGAAGCCTTCAGAGAGGTCTGTGAGGAGAGAAGGGGAGGCCTGAGCCCGGGGCACACGGCCCCCGAGCTCTCCCATGCAGAACCGTGTGACGGCCACGGCAGCACATGCGGTTGGACTGCATGCTTCTCATGCTTTGACACTTCCAAGCCACTGTGCATGGGGAAGCCACAGACAGAGACCAGTCGAGTGCTGCGGAGTGAGCGGCCGACGCCCCACCGCACGGAGAGGCAGGGGCTAGAGCCCTGGAGGCTCTCATGGACTCACACGACAACACGAGTTATACCTGCCAACCCTCCCAGTAAAAATGGAAGAATCCCAAATTCTCTGAGGGGCTCCAGTCTCCCGCCCAACCAGGTCCGTCTCCCGCCCAACCAAGTTCAAGTTCAAGTTCATCTCCTGGTATGGAGATCACCTATGTGGAAATGTAAAAAAGGAGGCCATTTTTCATGTTTTTCTTTTTGCTTTATTTTTTTTCCACTATTTACTTTTTTTGGGGGGGAGGGAATGACTATTTTAAGTAACGTTCATAAAATGACTCATCTGCAATGGAACTTTATGGTGCAACTATTCTATCGGCATTGATGGCTGGCTTTTAAAATGCAGAGATAAGACTCACCCTTAAGTTACTTATAATAGTAGAGTAGCGGTCACTGTTCTCTCTTTCTCTCTCTAAAGACCCGTTTAAAAAGTCTCCCTTCTCCCAGAAGCCTTTTTTTCTTCTCACAGAAGTGCCTCCAACTTGTTGAAATACGGTGACCCCCAAATTTACTTTCCCTGTCTTTCTCGTTCTAGGGATTTTATGGACCACAACTTTGTGATTACCTCAACTAACCATCTACTCTTAATAAATGATACAGATGCTTTGAAAAGAACTTCTCTTAGGGGGTCGGTCACAGTTCATTTGTTGAAGACAAGCAAAATGAGACTTAATTAGTGGAGTCAATAATTAATTAGAATGCCATCTTCACAAAGGCAAGAAAGCACTACTACCACCTCGCAGATGTTTGACAAAGTGCTGAAAGCCTGAAATACAGAATTATTCACTTAGAAGTTTATAGAAATATATATACATGCATTGCTTGAGCAATTAAGAGTTTTCAAACAGCTCGAAGAAACTTAAATATCTAGTCTTCTGTTATTCGGGGTATTTTTCTTAGAACATTCAAAATAAAATTAGTCTGGAGTACACATATTAACACATCCAAATCAGCAGGATTGAAACTACTTGGCTTTTATCTCTCTTTCACCAAAAGAGATCTCTCCGTTTCTGAATTCCTCTTTAAACGGGCCTATTACCATGTTGCTCTTTGGGAAAGCTTTTGCCTTATTAAAGTATTCGCTGTATTTCTGACTGTTTTCAATTTGTTTAAAATGGAAGAAAAATAACTTGGAGTTAACGTTAACATTTAATCAACCAAATGATCCAAAAAGGTCGCCGGACGCTATTGGGCTGGCCAACGCCGTGTCTACTTGATGTCAATTAGCGATGCTGAGTGGGTCTCCCCACCTTCACTGCGCACGGGCCTCCCCCAGAGAGCTTCTACTAAATGCTACAATCCAGGCCCCATCAAATATTCTCGTTTAACTTTCTAGGCTGAAGCTCAGGCAAAGGTACTTTCTAAAAGCTCCCAGGCAATTCTAACATGTAGCCAGGGTTGAGAACCTCTGTTTGAAGTAGGAAGGGTGGAGTAAAGAGCATTTACTACAGTAAAGCAGATCTGTGCGTAAGGACCATGAGCGGTGGGGTCAGACTGACTGGGCGTTAATTCTGGATGTCATGAGATCTGTGTGACTAGATCTGAGACTTTGGCCAAGTCGGTCCAAGTTTCAAAGTAACGGTTTCTTAATTTTAAAACGAAGGTGGTAATACCTACCTCACAGAAGAGTTGTGAAGTTTAAATCAGAAAAAGTATGTGAAGCAGTTAGCCTGGTATCCATCCCATGACAAGGACTTCCAAAAATGTTAGTTGCTTCCTTCACAGCTGTATATCCCAGCACCTAGCACAAATGCCTGGCACATAGCATGCACTCAAATCATGGTTGAAACAATGAATCAGTGTTATTCAAATTCACAACACTCACTGAGGCGCTCCTGATTTTAGAAAGGATCCTTAGGAACTGAATGCCTGTCTCCTAACTTCTTTGTTGTTTCCATTTAATTTGCTGCCAAGAGCAATGCAGGACACACACCAGGTGCCTGCAGGAACACACTGTGGTCCTTGATTCTTGACAGGATTCAATAATTAAACTCACAGAAAGGTCTAATGGGCCAGGCTAAGGCTGTTTGCTAAACTTGCCTGATCATAGAAACCAGAGCTCTTCAGGTGATTCTGACAATCACACACATTTGGGAAGCAGAGACTTAGAAAACCACACCCAAAATAAGGCTTGATGTCTGAAAACAGAGCAGACAAGGAACTCAGTTCTAATAGGGAACAGACACACAAAACAGCCTTTTGTAACACACGTAGCAAATACAAGTGCCTCTGGGCCTCACCGAGCCAAAGCATCTGAGGCCCTTCTTCATCCCACAGAACAAGGGGCAGAGGCCAAGCGGGGGTGACTTACAGTACCTGGGCGCCTCTACGTGAGCTCTGAGAAAGCTTACAGCCCTACGGACAGTCAAACAGCAGAAGATAAGCAGGACGGAATCGCACAGCACCCCTCAAAGTCCCGGCCTTCCTTCTGTTCATGTGTAAATACGCATCTCTGTCTCAGTGCAGAACTTCCTTTTAGGAGGCAGCATACAGGGAACTGATGGATACGGTGGCAGATTTGGGTTGTGTTTGGGCCACAACTAGACAAGTCACCTAGCTTGTCTACAATGTTTCTCAGGAATGTAAAAATTATACCAAGAAGTTACTGGGTAAACTGGTAGTGACATATTCAGGAACCCTTTCGATACTGGCCCTGTGTTCTAAAACAAAGCCTCCCAGCTCTGTGATAAAAAGGGTTCACTTGGCAAGTTCAACACTATCAAAACAGTGAATCGCTGGGCCTTCACTTGGATATCTGCATTCTTCTGATTCCAACAGCATTCGCCCCACTGCATTCTGTGCCCTCTCTTTTATTAAAGTCCTAAGAAAACATAAAGGCTTTTTGTGTTCTTATACGGGGTATCAGGACAGTCTTACCTTGCCGCAGAAATAATCCTATCAACAAAACCTTTATCATGGTGTGACTCCTTCCTGGGCTGTTGAGAAATGCCTATGGGTGCTCTAACTGGTTTGGCTCAGTGGTTAAGAACACCAGCCTGTGGACTGAAGGGTCCTGGGTTCAGTTCCTGCCAAGGGCATGTGCCTTGGTGCAGGCTCCATCCCCGGTCCCAGTCAGGGTATGTGCAGGAGGCAACCAATCTATGCCTCTCTCTCATATCGATGTTTCTCTCTCTCTCTCTACCCCCCCCCTTCCACTCTCTCTGAAAAGCAATGGAAAAAATATCCTCGGGTGAAGGTTAAAAAAGAAAGGCCTATGGGTGACTCACTCAACTGTGAATGAAACTTAACTACCTTTTGCTCTTCCTCCGGGAATTGTCCAGGTTATGGAATCGCAAAGAATCAGTTATAACAACTGTCTAAAGAGTAGATACCCCACTTCTTCATCCCAAAGGAAGTCTTCCCCCAGGATGTACTGGACAAAACTCGGAAGGAGGCAGTGTCATGGACTTTGTCTACTGAAGAGCGTTCTCACTCTGCCCTGCTCCAGCTGCACCGCGGGGACAGAGGCTGTCCTGAGATCAGGCAGGCAGGAGAATAAAGAAAGCACATTCCAGAAACTAAGAACAGGGTCTCAGCAGCTTCTCGGGCGTATTTGGCTAAGTCACAGCAAGAACTACTTAACCTTCAGGATTGACCAAAGGAAATGGCTTGGGAAATTTTGAGGGATATTGTTGGCCATTGCTATTGCATGTCATGAGTCTACAGCATTTTAAGATTATGAGATCATAAGGATTAAGAAAGGATTCACATGAAGAAAGCCCACAGAAAGCCAGAGAGGAGCTGATTGTGGCATTTTTATAAGTAGACCATTAGAAACAATACAAATATCCATCAGTAGGGAGTTGGCTAAGTAAACCAATATATCCATAGCATGGAACACATATGGCAGTTTAAACATGCATTAAATCTATATTTACTAATATGGACTTCTCCTCAAGATTCTTTTTATTTTTTCACTAGGAAAGGCAAGTTTTAAATCATTATGTGTAAAATAATGTCATTTATCCAAATGTCATTTATCTAGTCTTCTATAACTTGACTCCACACAAAAATTCATGTAACACAGATCTTCCCTTCAGCTCCAAACGATTACACTAGGATTTAAACATCTTTCGCTTGGTTATCCAATCAAAATAGTATCCCCTACCGTTTCCAGTACAGAGAAGAAACTCTGACATCTGTAACATTAAATATAACTCTGGCCTTAAACGCATCAACGGATTCCAGCTTGATTCTTAAAACCTGGCTTTCCTCTCACTCCTTCAAGTCCACCTTCCGTCATATTCTGACCCCCAGGTCCCTGCAAGCACGGTGGTAGTGACGCCAGCACACCGCCCGGCAGCGCTCAGTCTTTGCCATGAAGGTCGCACACAGCTCCAGCTGCACAGCTGGTCACGGAGCGACGGCCCACTCGGAGCCCGCGCCCTCTCGCCAGAGTCATCCCACTTCCTCCCACCCCGCTCGCCCTGGCCACTGTCCGCTCAGGGAGGCTTCCTTCACTCCTCTCTAGGGTCATCTGTCTAGGCACGAACATGACAAATAAAGCTGACTTTCTGTGACAACCTGTCTTGTCGTTGTCAGCCTGGTCTATCAACTTGCATTGCCCTCCCTCACCCCTCTTCCCAATGACACCCGTGCATCCTTCAAGACCAAGCACAATGACATCTTTTTTTTTAATTTAGCCTACGCTGATCTCCCCAAATGAAGTCTCTCTACCCTGCTTCGGGTTCCCACCTGGGTCCTACGTCATGGCCGCGCTCAGCATGCCCTGCCTCAGATGTGAGGGCCTCTCACTCCCGTGGCTGCTGACGGAACCCGTCCGTCCCTCCCTCTCGCCACCCTAGGAGTGTCTCTCCTAAAAGATGCACGGCGCTCAAGAAGGCAAACGTTCCCAGGTATCAGAAGGCCGCTCTTTGATTAAAAATGTACGTGGCAAAAGCCCTCTTCCAGAATCCACACTCTGCCCGGTGATTGAGGTTGTCGTGTCTATTTTCAGGTTAACATCTGACTCATCTTTGGACCTCCCACTGCATGTACCAGCACCTTTGAACGTGGTTAATGAAGTAAAGGTTTCTTTAACACAGAGAAGACTATCTTCTCCTTTATCATATTTTTAAGCAGCGTCCTAGAATATAGACATATAGAGAGACGTATGGAAAATATTTGCATAGTATATAAAACAGACTGACAGCTGTCAGAGGGGATGGAGTAGGGCGGACTGAATGAAAGAAGGTGAAGGGATTGGCCAAGGAACATATGTGCGTAACCCATGGACACAGACAACAGGGTGGGGGTGGCCAGAGGGACGGGAGACAGGGAGGAGGGCTGGGGAGAGGTGGGCGAGGGCTGGGGGGAGGACATGTGTAATAGTGTCCACAACAAAAACTAAAGCTAAAAAGTAAATGAATTCTAAAAGTTGGGAGAATATTTTATCTGCCGTTCTCCATCTACCTTCCAAATTCTCTCCATCATTTCCCAATGTACTCGGCCTGTTTCCACACCACTGTTAACAGGTTGTCACCCATTCCCCACGTTCTACAAGCTACGGTTTTGATGGCATCCATGCTCTGGTCCCAACAAGGGCTTTTCTCAATCCTTGCTGTTGTTGCTTTTGACACTGATGACAGCTCTGTTTTTCTTCCCATTTTAAATAATGAAACTCTGTGTCATCACAGGTGTCTCCTTGTTTCGCAGGGCTTTCTTCCTCCTTCCACTATCTAGGGGAGGGTGCTTACTCCGTCTTTCTCCACCTTTGTATCAGTAAACGAATAGGGCTTGACAGTCCCCCACGGGCCGGCATCACGCCAATGCACATGCAGCCCCACTGCAGGGTACAATTCAGCGGGTACAGCGGGAGTCCAAGGCCACTTAGGAACACAGCGGACGGCAGGCTGTGGCCCCGTTCTGTCTCTTTCTGCCCTCTCCATCAGAAATCTCACGCTCTCCCCACCCTCTTTCACTGCAACACCAATGCCTCGGGGATCAGTAACTTCTGTCCTGACCCCCATGTGACTGTCCAACATTTTAATACGTTGACGTACAGCTTCACTTGGTACCCTGTACTCCTAAAAGTCGACAAGAAGGAAAGCAAGAGCTAACGTTTATTGAGTGTTTACAGTGATCGAGGTGCTAGGCTATGTACTTTATCTTTTTTGGTTTTAGCTCATTAGTCCTCATGAAAACCCTATGAATTAGGTACTAGGATTAGTTACACTTTGCAGGTGAGACAGAGTGGATGGGGTGGGACCAGGAGAGACATGGGTTTAGTCATGAAAAGGTAACATGAGGGACACCTGCGGAGACTGTTCTGCATCTTGACATCTGGTTGTGATATATTGTACTATGATACTGCAAGAAATTACCACGAGGGGAAAATCTCTAAAAGGTACATAGAATCTCTCTGTATTATTTCTTACAACTGCATGTGAATCTCAAAATAGAAAAAAAATTAATTAAGGAAAAGAAATTACGGTGTGGCAGGGGAATAGATGAAACAACAATGGTAGAAAAGTTCATGTTACAGAAGAATTCATTATAATCTTACCTCTCTTCACTTGCTTAAGAATTTCCATAATGAAAAGATTTTTAAAGTTTAAAAGAGGAAACTTACAATTTCCCCGCAAAGTGGTATCACCTTCTGATTTTCCTAACTGATCTATCTCCAGTCTCCCCAAATCCCATAGCACCAGACTATCCTACACACTTTTGCTAGATGTTTCCTTCTAAAATGCAGTGTTACTATTACTCTTTTGTTTAAAAGGATAAAGTTCACATGTATAAAAAAATTCCCTGCCAGCCAGGCCTGAGGAACCCACGCTCCTGTCCTACAACCCCCTGCATTAACCTCCCATTGCAGTCAAGCTAGTCTCACAATCCCATGAATATAAATTTGGACCCAGTACCCTTGCTCATGCCATTCTCCTGCCTGCTATTTCCTCTCTTCTCCACTGCTCTAAGTCCCACCTATCTTTAAGAGGCAGACTAAAACCCACCTCTTCTGTGAAGCTCTCCCTAATCTTTCTTTAAGGTAACTACATGGTTATTCAGAGCAAAGATCTTGTATTGCATCACAATGCCCAGTAGCCTTCCTGATACCATAGAGGCTTTTGATGAAAACATGTTGATTTAACTGAATATTTAATATAAAGATCATGGAGAGATTAGTAAATTTTAGGGGAAAACACAAGTAAAAATGTTAAAGAGATTTTTTAAATAACACTAAATTGGAAATCAGTACACTTGAATTTCAGACATAGTATTAAAGTTGTGTATGTCACCTTGGGCAAATCATTTAACAGTTCTTGGCCTTTGGTTCTAAAATGTACAAAGGAAGGACTAAACTCCCCATTTTTAAAATATTTATCTTTATGCCTGGCCGGGCGCGGCTCAGCGGTTGAGCGTCGACCTAGGATCCAGGCGATCGGGGTTCGATTCCCGGTCAGGGTACATCATCGGGTTGAGGGCTGCAGTCGATCAATGACTCTCTCATCATTGATGTTTCTATCTCTCTCCCTCTCCTTTCCTCTCTCTGAGATCAATAAAGATATATTTAAAAATAAAAAAATAAAATAAAATATTTATCTTTATTATTAAAAGTATTACAGATCTCCTCTTTTTTCCTCATTGACTCCTTCTACCACCCCCCCACCCCCGCAGCAGTCCTTCACCACACTATTATCTGTGTCCATAGGCTCCCTATTTTTTAATGTATAGATACTGTACTTGCCTCTGGAAAAGACTTCCCAAGGGCTTCCAGGGATTGTAACTTGGAAAGATTATTCCCAAATGTTGCTCATCAGCAGAGACACAAACTTTATATAAAACACACAAAGCAAAACAGTGTCCCTGACCCAACAATTTTTAAATAAAAAACCAAGTCAATGAGAAAAAATTGCATGATAATTTTGGAGGCCACATGAAAAAGGATTGCCACACCATTTAAAGACATGTTCAGTGAGACTTCTTAAGGTACCTACACCCTAGGGAAGTATAATCTTCTCTCTGTAGCATTAAAAGTCTGCCATCCCAGAACTTGGAGTTAACTGTCTAAGATGTACAGTACAAAGGCAGAAATTTTTCTGTCAAAGATGATGACCTTAGGAGAAACCACCAAGGTTTCCCAGAATTGAAGGAGACCCTCTAGGACAGGAAGTAGAGTGAGGACTGAATACAGCATGAGACTGGGTAGTAAGAGGCTAAGTTCTACTTCGCCTTAAGGGAGGAGTGTTGCTCTCTAAGTGGCCTTGTGTAGTTAGGAAGGTCATGACCTTCTGCCGCTCAGGCTGGAAGGGGTGGTGATCTCAACCAAGCCAGGAAGCCTGCACAGTTTGCCCTCACAGTCACTCCCCGGGGGTGCCCCAGCTGGAACAGGAGGTGTGCAAGAATCACCCACAGCCACCACCAGCCCTCAAGGAACTCAGGAGAGCACCCAAAGAGAGTATCATTAGCACACAGAGGGGAAGGACACATTCTTGCTGTGGACTCTGATTTCTTTAGGAGAGGAGGCTGGTTCCATGAGAGAGCCCAACGCAGTAAGGTGATGGGCTGATGGGATGAACCGGGGAGCTGAGCAGGGGGCCACGGGGATGAATGAGCAGAGATCGTGGGAACCCAAGGGCTAGTCGGGGAGAGAAAAGCAAGAAGCAACAGTTCCTGTTCCTCCGCACCGGCCCAGCAGCACGGCCCGGCAGTTACCTGCGCTTTCTTCACCTTAATGATCCAGGTGGGCGGGACAATGACGGCCGCGTGGGCCCCCAGGGAGCAGGGTTCCTCGATGTGGTGCAGCATGAAGCAGGTCACCTTATTGTGAAACTGAAGAGAAAGACAGGCCCATAATCAGTCCCGGGCGAAGGGCAATGCCGCAGTGAGAAGGAACGAGGCCATGCGTACATGCTCACGCGTGCACATACGAACACATGCACACACGCAACACACGCTTCTCATCAACCAGCCCCAGGAGCTCGGAGACCAGATTTAGAATTCACTTCACTTTACCAACGGATAACAACTGATAGCAAGAAATCAATCTTAGAGGACAGGTCAGCTAAAACTTTACAACCTCGTGGTTTGTATTTTTAGTATCTCATTTTTATTTATTTTTATTGAATTTATTGGGGTGAAACTGGATAATAAAATTATATAGGTTTCAGGTGTCCAAGTCTGTAACACATCATCTATATTGTATTGTGTGTTCACCACCCAAAGTCGCGTCTCCTTCCAACACCATTTACCCTCCTCTTACCGTCTTCTTCCTCCCCCACCCCCTTCCCCCTGGTAATCACCATACTGTTTTCTGTGTCTATGAGTTGATTTTTAATAAGATATTTACTTAAAGATGTTAGTCTTGGAGGTGTGAAGGAAAAAGTGGCCACATACTAAACCTGACAAGCTCAGGGGAGGCTTACATGGTGGCTCTACAAAGTCAGAGACGGAAAGTGACCACATAGGACAGTCTGAACGTAAAAATCCCTAACTAAAATCAGGTCACGGTGGGTAGTCACATCCTAGGCCTGCAGCTCCCTTGACAAAGGTCAGTTTTTACCTAAGTGAGCTTGTCTGTTCTCTTTTTGCATCTAAGATAACATACCTTTGAAATGTCAGTGTGATCTCCCTTTCCACACCCCTTGGGGCACACCCACCACAACAGAGACCACAGAACCCCTCATTGTTACCTGTCGCCCACGTACCATCTCTATGGGCAATAAGTGTTCATTACCAACTATCCTGGACCCACCAAAGTAAAAGAAATGTGTGTCTATTTTGCCTTTTATCCAATCTCAGAGATTTCCCTGCTTTGCTTTCTCCTGCCCCCTTACTCTACCACCAGTGGATTTCACGTAGCCCTCCTTTCGTCTCCTCCCTTGATTCTAATGTATAAAATAAGCTGTAAAACTGCCATTCTCTGGAGCATTTCCTCAATCTGTTGAGATTTTGCTTCTCAGCAATTGTCACCAGTTTGGCTCAAACAAACTCATAAAAATTCTCTACAGGTGTGAATGTTTCTTACATCGACCAAGGGCTCTACTGACGCTAACTTTGCACATAATTTTGTTTCAACGGACTTGCGCTGGTCACAGACTTGGTTAATTTGGGACAATGCTGAAAAGGAAATGAAGATGAGCAGAAAGGCAGTGCCTACCATCTGCCTCTCCTTTTTCTACCCATGCATGTGAATCCTTCCCAGGCTTTCCAGTTTAAGGGACCCGGGAAAGAGGAAAACATGTCTTCTAGACAGCTGTTAGTCCAAGAGGTAACAGGACAAAGAGATTGCTTCTGCCTGGCTCATGAGGGCTGCCAAAAAATGTAATGGCCCTATTACACTTGGCAAATCCAACGTGATTTTTGTTTTTGAAAGGAAGTAAGTACTAATACTTTTGGGGCTTAACTCTATCTCCAAACGGATTGAGTGACCTTAGGCCAATCACATTTTCAATCATCTTTTGTGTGGCTGTAAAGAGATAATGATGGGTGGTAACATCTGTTTTCTAACAAACATAAAATCACATTACACAATAATTACAAGCCTTAAAGTTTTAATCATAGTGATTTTTTAAAGATTTAACATCGGTTTCTCCTTGGATTCTATTTAACATGACCACATAATTTATCATCTTCACTGGAACAATTTTAAGAGTGAAAGGGAGCACTGTTAATAATTACGTTGGAACAAAAGATGTAAATTAGGACTATCTCAAGAAAACTGGCAAATATGGTGGCCCCAATTACATCCCATCAGGGAGGCTTTGTCTTCATCTCTGCATATCTTCAAGATCTGACAGGATCCACTGGCTAATTACTAAATCAGTTAATTAAGTATGAAATACAATTTCATAATACTCCCCAACCACCAGTCATTTGTGATCTGCAAATAATTTGATATACCAGAGAAATGTTATTTGTATATCTTCTTTAAAAGGAGATTTTCTCATGGGACGTCGAAAATAAAGAAATGTGTGATGGTATAAGGAGAGGAAATGTATGGAAATTATCCCTACTTTCTACTCGATTTTGCTCCTAACCTAAAGCTATCCTGAAAAATAAAGTTTATTCATTTAAATTTTTTTTTAACTTAGAATAATTTTTTTAAAAGATCCACTAATGAATGCTAAAATGGGTAGGCAAAAGTTTGAGGAGAAATGTGACATCAGCATAATCTCAAAATATCTCCCCCAAATATTTATCAATCGGGAAGGGAAACCCAGTAACTTTATGATGAACGTACAGCAAACAACACCTTAATCAGGTGATCAAGCTTAATATTATCAGTAATAAAACACTGACATTATGTGCCCCCGTATAAGATGCAGTGAGGACACCACCTCCCTTCTATAGCATCTTGCCTAAAATAAATAATTTCAATCTCATCATGAAAAAATGAGACAAACTCAATTTGGGAGACATTTTTACATAATAACCAGTCAGCACTATTAAAAGTGTCCAGGCCATGAAAGGCAGAGAAAGAATGAGCACATGTAAAAAATCACACGGCTAAATGTCTTGTGAGATCCTTGATTAGATCCTAGGACATTAAAGAAAAACCTGGGGAGTGTTTGAAAAATCTGCGGCTTAGTTAACAGTAACGTGCCAACATTAATTTCCTGGTTTTATTCATGGTACTACGGTTATGCAAGTTGCCAAAATTAGAGGAAGCGAGGGGCAGCTGGGTGGGAGGGACACATTAATGTTCTGTACTATTTTTGCAACTTTTCTGTTAATTTAAAATTCCAATTAAAAAAATGTAAGTGAGTTTCTCTCTTAGCCATTCAAATGAACCCCCAAATGAATGGCAACTGCATTTCTAAAAGAGAAGTGACCTCAGAGCCTGCCTACTTCAACCCTCTCCCTTTCTACCTGAGTAACTGCCAAGCTAGGGAGAACAGGAGATATGTCCAAACGTGATAGAATCAGGACCTGAACCCAGGGAACCCAGGAAACCCAGCTCCCAATCCCAGTTTTTGTTTTTTCTCTCCGATGCAGTGTGTGCCCACAGAGGACGCTTACTGGTCTGTTTGACATCAGATATTCTAGAAGGGACTACCTGTAGTGTTAAAATATGTCACCATTATAATCTGTCTTAAAATGTTTTGTTATTTTTAAACCTGGTGACCCTGGGAAACTCAAAGGAATGTGGAGCTGACCACAGCTCTGCCACAGTGGTCAAGTGAAAGTCGCCTTTGGAGTGACCCAGTTGGACTATAGCTCAATGAAGAGAGAGCACATGTGTTCACTGGAAGGAGGGACTCTGTCCCCAAATTAACTGACCGTGGATAAGCCATCTAACCACAGCCTGATAGCAAGGGGGCAAGAGCAGATGCTGCCTACCAGAGCCCACGACCACCACTGACGCTGTCCCCCAAGCGGGGTCTCCCCAGGTCAGGGAAAGCAGCAGCACAGGTACATTTGGGACACCTGGACCCTGAATCTGCTTCTTCCTCTCCAGACGGAGACTGCTTCGATGGGACAGTTTCAATCAAGAACTGGGATGGCCTTGTGCTTGTGAATATGTTCTGAACAGAAGCACAGACAGTCTATTTGTGTAACTATAAACTGAAAGGGGATGGAAATGCCAAGAATAAAATGTGTGGCAGGATGGTGACAGAGCAAGCGTTGAGCTTTCCAGACCAATGTGTCTCTACATAATGGAAGTAGGTTCTCCCGACATGTGGGGGCCTAGGGAAATTGTGCTAGAGAGATTATTGGGCTGAATCTTATGGAATTGCCCGAATTCAAAAGTTTTGACCTACAAAAATGTCAACTTCATGAGTTTCAACTAGATGCATCTGCTCCTGCCTCTTGGCCTTGTTTGGCTAGTTATACCTGATGGGTGTAGAGAGCTGAAGTTTTCCTGCGAACACCTAACCTAGTTGAAACTAGTTTCTTTCTTTTCAGGTTGGCTGCTCCATGAGGGAACTATACATCCCATTTATACAGTCATTCAGAAGAGTAGGTGAATTGAGAGATAAGAGCAGAGGTCCACAAACTTTTCTTCTAAAAGTCCAAATAGTAAATATTTCAGACTTAAGGGGCTATACTGTCTCTGATGCAACTATTCAACTCTGCCGTTACATTACAGAACATTACAGAAATCCAAAACAGCCATAGACAATACATAAATGGCTGAGCATGGCCGTGTCCCAAACTTTATTTACAAAAGCAGGCAGCAGGCAGAGTTGTCCCAGGGCCGTAGTTTGCCAGCCCATAAGTTAGAGTATATATACACTGTCTGCTTAAAAAAAGAACAGGAACACAGGCAAACAAGTAAGAAAATGAACCATCTGGTTAGGACAGAGGAGCTAAAAATAAAATTTATAAAAGGATAGATTACAAAAGAGGAAAAGTAAATAGATAAATTACTATTGGATTCTAGTGAATATATATGTTCAAATGCAAGTAAGAATTACATTTAAATGAGCATACAGGCAGCTGTAATGACATCAAAATTTAAAGAATACAAGACCACTGCCGTGCTAACACAGCGTCATTAAAAAAGGTACCCACACGGAAAACAGAAGAGCCAAGATGCCTGAACCGCTGGGTTAGGAGGATCAGCTAACGTTGCAATTGCTTTCTTCCTAATGTTGCAACTTTCTACCTCAGGAAGACTTGTCAACAATCTAGTGTAGCTGGGAAAAATATCCATGTATGGTCTAGGAGTGAGAAGTCCTCAATTCTAGAGCAGGGTGAGACTCAGGGAAGAATTTTCCGGTCTCTGATCCCAGAGTTCAATGTGTATAAATGAAGGGGTAAATTTATCTCTAGAGTGTCTCCCAGCTCACATGTGCTAGAATTCCACAGTTTTAATGTCTTTCTTCCTCCAACGATCCTATGTGAGGGAAATTATACATACATTGGATGATGACCTGCCACTTACAGGCAGGAACTCAAGCAATGACCTATGTCCGTTCTGATAGAGCACAGACCTGCTTTGTGTTTTTCATCCCCACACTTACCGCCTGCTTGCACCAGGAACAGCTGATAGCCACGATCTCTTTACTGTGGAAGGAGAACTTCTGCTGAAAGCCCTGGGGTGTTAGGACAAGAGATAGAAAATTTAAAACCACTTCAATCACAGGATGCATGAAGTCCAAGGAAGTGAGCAGAGCCAGGACTGAGCCCACCACTCAAGGTAACTGGGACTGCAGATGCCACGCTCGCCACTTACATTCCCCACCCTCGGCCATGCAAGAGTCTCCTGCTCCCGAACCATCTGGGCTGTTAGAGAGGAGGCACCGGTATCCCCTAAGCACTCAAAGCCGGACACGCGCACACACACACAAGCTTGGTTCCCCCCCCAAATAGAATATGGTTCTGATATGTTTTTATAAAAAGCAAAAAAGCAAAAAAAAAAAAAAAAAGCCACTATTGGTTCACACAGTTCTTTATATCAACAGTCATCCATCTCAGCGGTTCTGACAACTTTAACATCCGAGAACCCACAAAGACAGGAATTACGGATCAGAGAGTTAGGACCCAGCTTCAGGATCTGAGAGAAGTTCAAGGGTGCAGGAGGGAAGTCAAAGACTTATGATCCCCTTGGGATGTCAGGACTCAAAACAAGCAGCTTTCCATTTTATTCTTTGCCAAAGAGCAGCAATGAGATTAATGGAATGGCAAATTCAATCCTCTTAAATGAACAAATGGAATTACTTTTCCACCAGGAACAAAAGAGGTGCTTCTTGGCTGCTGCTGTCCCTCAATAACAACCGGAGAGAAGTAGGCAGTGATGCTCAAAGAGGGGTTTTAGCCTTCCCAAGGCTCATCCTTTCCACCCGCTTTGAAATCCAAGCCCAAAGAAATAAGTTCAGAGCAATGAGGTGACATTTTTCAAACAGGGCTTTTGTCAAGTGATCAAAAGAAAATGTGACAGGCAGGAAAGCTACTAAGGCACTGGCTGAAGAAGTCTTGCCTGATGCCTATAGGTAACTTTAAGTTAAATTAATCAATTTATACATTAAAAGAACTCCCATTCTCAATGATAGGCTTACAACCTGTACCTGCCCTTGGCATTAATGAATAGCTGCCCTGAGTTGTTGGTTATTTTATGGGCACATGTTTGTCTCTCCAGGGGAATTATAGATTTTTCACAGAAGTCCCTGCAATGGTTCTTACACAGATCCCCACAACTGAGCATAGCTCTTCAACTTCACAGGCATGGCACACATGTCTTCTGATGAACTGAACAGTCATTGCTACCACATCGTGATGCAATTACCAACCTCATGCTATCCAGGCTTTAAACACCTAAGCCAAACCACCTGGAAATGTGCTTCCTCACAACACCCTCCTCCAGCTCCTCCAGACACTGCAAACTTGCTAGCATTTTAATTTAATTAAGTCTGCAGTATAGACATGCCACATGGTTGGAAATCAATACGGTGGACTGCTGGCACGACAGCCGTCGAAGCCACAACTAGAGGTCTACGGAACGTTGCTCCATCAAATGTACTGTGAAACAGCATCTTAAATGCTATTACCCGGCCACCACTTCGTCAATGCACACATCAGATGACTATACATCAATCGATGCTAACAGAGAGATGGCGCTGGATTTTGTTATTGGCTGGGGGATCTTAACCCTTCCAATTTCCCCCTTCATCTGAAAATGGTAATTATACTGGAAACCTCTCCTATACCATTAAGTAGTTATGAGATTCAAACGGGGTAATGTACTTGAAAAGTTCTTTATAACACAGCGCATATAAATGGAGGAGTACTTTGATTGCTAAGGCCTAACAACAGGAATGTCTCCCCCACCTCGCTGACAAAGTCCTCCAGAGTCTAATATGTGCCTAGCAGTACTCCATTGATGGTACAGAATCCCAGCCTTCCAGTTTCAGGGAGAAACACACAGTCCTGACAGCCAGGCTGGTATCAGAAGCAACCAAGGCCATGCACAGCTGGGGCGCAGGGCACTGCTGCAGAATCGTGATGGGTCCCTGGAGACGAGCCTGGTGGTAATCAGCTCTGGGCTTTGTTTTGGATTCTAGTCTGGCTGAGCCACAGAGGCCATAGCTTCAGGGTTATTGTCTAACACAGAGACACAGATAGAAACATATCGAGGCCTTCATGGACCAAGTTCCCACAGGCCACCTGCAATGGGGAGAAGATTTTGGCTGGGATCTCAACAGAGCAAAAAGAGCCAGATTCCTAATCACCCATTTTTAAATGCTGGCCCACATTCAATATTATGGTACCAACAGATGCCCTAAGTGAATTTCAACGGACTCTATAATGTTTAAGGGCTATTTTGTTCACCACCAAAGAGGAAAAGAGGCATGTGAGGTCAGATGCTTTGGACTTAACTGACTTTAGAATTATAAATACCAAGAACCTTGAAGGACACATATGGTCATTTTG